TGGCAGTGGAAGGATTTACCCGGGACCGACGGTTGGAGACGATAATCCACTGGGGTATTGAGGACAGGAGGGTGATTGGTGATATCACACAAGACTCCTGCCAAGGGCGTACCCCTTTTATCGTTCGTGGAGTGGCCGTACCAGCCTTGGTGGCTCAGTACCTGCCAGCAGACCTGCTGGACGTGTGGTTGACGGCCTCCACGACGGTGCCCCAGTGGACCTGTGTTGTGGCTGACCTGTGGCCAGGGTAGGCTCGGCGTTCTCAGAGGACACGTCTTGAGGCCACGAAGAAAGCACCAAGGACTCAGCACCTAACTGAGGATTACCAGAGTCTTGAGATTATCCAGAGTCTTCAGCAGAAGACTACCTTGTGAAGAATCCCCTTGTCAAGTGTTAATATCCCTCCCCTTGTGTACTCTTTTATTTTATATATTTAATCGGTGATGGTGTTAATTATAATATTAAGTTCTTAACTTTCTTTCCCTACTCCCTTTAAGTTACTTGCGTCACGGATCTCATCCCTTGATAGCCTCTACTGGCTTGGGAACGGATACCTATATCTTCCTCTAACGACATCAGAGCAAGAACCCCGTTGCGTCCCGAGAGGGCCGTAACATGTCGTACCTAGTAGCCAGACGCACTTCTCAGCCTACTATGCAAGGCCCGATTTGCCTAATATGCCAAGTTTTCATGAATTAATTATTTTTCGACTACCTAACCTACCTAACCTAACCTAACTTTTTCGGCTACCTAACCTAACCTAACCTATAAAGATAGGTTAGGTTAGGTTAGGTAGGGTTGGTTAGGTTCGGTCATATATCTACGTTAATTTTAACTCCAATAAAAAAAAAATGACCTCATACATTATGAAATGGGTAGCTTTATCATTTCATAAGAAAAAAATTAGAGAAAATATATTAATTCAGGAAAACTTGGCTTATTAGGCAAATCGGGCCTTGCATAGTAGGCAGAGAAGTGCGTTCTGGCTACTAGGTACGACATTATATATATATATATATATATATATATATATATATATATATATATATATATATATATATATATATATATATATATACACATATATACAAAATTGTATATTGTATATACCAGCGTATATACAAAACCTACCAACATATCTCACTGAATCTCACCATGGATACTAAAGGAAGGTGCAGAAGCACTAAGTGTGCCACTCTCTATGGTGTATAACAGGTCACTGGAAACAGGAGACTTAGCAGAAAGTTGGAAGACAGCTAACGTAGTCTCAATATACAAGAAGGGTGACAGGCAAGAGGCACTGAACTAAAGGCCAGTTTCCCTAACTTGCATACCATGCAAGGTGCTGGAGAAGATCGTGAGGAAAAGGCTCGTAGAGCATCTGGAGGGAAATAACTTTGTAACGCACCACCAACATGGGTTCAGAGATGGTAAATCGTGCCTCACAGGTTTAATAGAATTTTATGACCAGGCAACGAAAATTAGGCAGGAAAGAGAAGGGTGGGCCGACTGCATTTTCCTGGATTGCCAAAAAGACTTTGACATAGTACCCCATAAAAGGCTGTTAAAAAAGTTGGAGCAACAGGCAGGAGTCAAAGGTAAGGTGCTCCAGTGGATAAGGGAGTACTTAAGCAACAGGAAACAGCGAGTAACGGTGAGGGGGGAGACATCAGAGTGGCGAGATGCCACCAGCGGAGTCCCACAGGGCTCAGTACTTGGACCCATCCTGTTTCTAATATATGTGAACGATCTTCCAGAGGGTACAGACTCATTCCTCTCAATGTTTGCTGATGATGCAAAAATTATGAGAAGAATCAAGGCGGATGAAGATAGACAGAGACTACAGGATGACCTGGATAAACTGGAGGAATGGTCTAGAAAATGGCTGCTAAAGTTCAACTCAGGAAAGTGTAAGGTGATGAAATTAGGCGAAGGGAGCAGGAGGCTGAACACAAGGTATCATCTGGGAGTGGAAATCCTGCAAGAGACAAATAGAGAGAAGGATCTGGGGGTTGATATCACACCGAACCTGACCCCAGAGGCCCACATCAAAAGAATATCATCAGCGGCATATGCTAGACTGGCCAACATAAGAACTGCCTTCAGAAACTTGTGTAAGGAATCTTTCAGAACCCTGTATACCACTTATGTAAGACCAATCCTGGAGTATGCAGCTCCAGCCTGGAGTCCATACCTAGTTAAACACAAGACAAAGTTAGAGAAGATTCAGCGGTATGCCACCAGGCTCGTCCCGGAACTGAGAGGATTGAGCTACGAGGAAAGGCTAAAGGAGCTGAACCTCACATCCCTGGAAAACAGAAGAGTAAGGGGAGACATGATAACCACCTACAAAATTCTCAGGGGAATTGACAGGGTGGACAAAGACAAACTCTTCAACACGGGTGGGACACGAACAAGGGGACACAGGTGGAAACTTAGTACCCAGATGAGCCACAGAGACGTTAGAAAGAATTTTTTCAGTGTCAGAGTAGTTAATAAATGGAATGCACTAGGAAGTGATGTGGTGGAGGCTGACTCCATACACAGTTTCAAATGTAGATATGATAGAGCCCAGTAGGCTCAGGAATCTGTACACCAGTTGATTGACAGTTGAGAGGCGGGACCAAAGAGCCAAAGCTCAACCCCCGCCAGCACAATTAGGTGAGTACACACACACCCACCTACACACACACACACACGCACACGCACGCACACACACACACACACACACACACACACACACACACACACACACACACACACACACACACAAACACAGCTAACTATGCGCTATAGTTGCTGCAGAGGGCAGCAACTATAGCGCATAGAATGAGAGCGAAGCTGCTGGTCATGGGGGACCTAAATCATGGCGAGATAGATTGGGAAACGAAGAATCCCCATGGCGGGGAGGAGACCTGGGGAGCGAAGCTAGTAGATGTTATTGACAGGAATTTCCTAACACAGCATGTGAAGGAAGACACTAGGGAAAGAGGAGGGGATACGCCCAGCCTATTAGACTTCGTTTTCACCCAGAATGTAGAAGACATTGAGCATTTAGAACATAAAATACCACTAGGAGCCAGTGACCATTGTGTCCTAGTCTTTGACTACATGATGGAGCTTAAAATTGTGACCAAAGGACAAGAGGTCCGAGTAAGGAGACTTGATTACAGAAGAGGGGACTACAGAAGGATAAGGGAGTACTTGGGATAAGTGCAGTGGGAGGAAGAAATTAGAGGAAAAACAGTGCAAGATATGATGAACCAAGTCATATGGAAATGCAAGGAGGCAGAAGAGAGATTTATTCCAACAGTAAAGGAAAAAAGCAGGTGGGAATATAATAACCCATGGTTTAATAGACAGTGTCAGGAAGCAAAGGTGAGAAGCAGGAGGGAGTGGAGGAAGTACAGAAGACAAAGGACAGAGGACAACAGGATTAGATGCAACAGAGCTAGGAACGATTACATTAACATAAGTCGAGTGTCGGAAAGAAATTATGAGAATGATATTGCAATCAAAGCGAAAAAGCAACCTAAATTACTACATAGCCATATAAGAAGGAAGATGTCGGTAAATGACCAAGTGACAAGACTGAGGAAAACAGAAGGGGCATATACAGAAAGCGACAAGGAAATCTGTGAGGTACTGAATGCAAGTTTCCATGGAGTGTTCACAACCGAGCCTGAGCAGCTCCCATTGTTAGAAGAGATTACCCTAGATGAAAGACTATCAGATATAGAGGTGACATTAGGAGGAGGTAATGAAACAGTTGACAACACTGGATGCAACTAAAGCGGTTGGACCAGTCAAAGTATCACCGTGGATACTTAAAGAGGCAGCGCAGGCTCTCAGCGTGCTTCTGGCAATGATGTTTAATGAGTCACTTAGGTTGGGAGAATTGCCCGGTTGCTGGAAGGAGGCAAATGTCGTACCGATTTTCAAGAAAGGTGATAGGGAGGAGGCACTTAACTACAGACCCGTATCACTGACAAGCATCCCCTGCAAAATACTTGAAAGAATAATTAGGCTAAGACATGTTGAGCACCTGGAGAGCATTGGGTTTGTAAACAAGCACCAACATCGGTTCTGGACAGGGAAATCATTCCTAACAAACCTTTTAGAATTCTATGACAAAGTAACAAAGATAAGGCAGGACAGAGAAGGCTGGGCAGACTGCATATTTCTTGACTGCCAAAAGGCCTTTGATACAGTACCGCACATGAGACTACTATACAAACTTGAGAGGCAGGCAGGAGTAAGCGGGAAGGCCCTAACATGGGTGAGGAACTACCTAACAGGAAGGAGCCAGGAAGGATATTTTATACTTCACTCCATAAAAAATCAAATGGTTGCTATAAATGGTAATATTACTTACAGTATTTATCTTAGTCCCGTCTAGAGCAACATATGTCTCTCTCGTACCCCAGACCATTTCCCTTGCATAGTTAGGAGAGGCTACCCTTAAGCATCTGGGCCTAGATTCACGAAGCAGTTACGCAAGTACTTACGAACCTGTACATCTTTCCTCAATCTTTGACAGCTTTGATTACATTTATTAAACAGTTTACAAGCATGAAAACTTGCCAATCAACTGTTGTTATTGTTATAAACAGCTTCCTGGTGCTTCGGAGCTTATTAACTTTTTAATAATTGTAAACAAAGCCGCCAAAGATTGAGAAAAGATGTACAGGTTCGTAAGTGTTAGCGTAACTGCTTCGTGAATCTGGCCCCTGGCTTCCAATTGGATAGACGTACAGAAGTTCCCTCTAACAACACCAATATATAATGTCTATCATTCTGTTCAAAGTTCGAGGCCAGATGCTTGGAGCCAGCCTTGCTCAACTTTGCAGGGGGAATAGTCTAGAGTATGGGACAGACATGGGCTAGTCGGGGTTGGCCTATATTAAATCCTTTATAAACAAACATTTACAAAGACCCCCAATGCGATTTTCTTGGAGACAAGTGTGAAATATTTCATGAGATGATGGAAGCTGGGAAATATGGCGACGCAACTTGAGGAGAAGCGGGATGAGGAAGGTAAACCCCAGGTTCAATAGGCAGCACAGAACAACAAGGACGGGACCAAAAAAGCATGAAAACGGTACAGGGTCAGGAGGGAAGCCGAGAGAAAATGTGAAAACAATATTACAGCATATACTAAAGACCATCCAAATTAGTTTTCACTCATGTTAGGAGAAAAGAAACAATAAGATACCATGTGATCAGGTTAAAGAGCGAGAGAGAGGCGAAGTCTCGTGGAAAATGACAAGGTGTGCAAGAAACTCAAATGATTGCAGGAGGTAATTACATATGAACCAAAGTGCATAGAGACCAGAGTAAAGTGATAAAAAGCCAGAGGAAACACTGGATGACACAGTAGCCACTAACAGAGGTTTATAAACCGGTTGAGGAGATCATGCCATTATTGATGACCAGACCACACACTAGAAATTGAAGGGACGACGACGTTTCGGTCCGTCCTGGACCATTCTCAAGTCGATTCAATTTCAATTTCTAGTGTGTGGTCTGGTCAACATACTTCAGCCACGTTATTGTGACTCATCGCCTGCATCATGCCATTAGATGCAACAAAATCAACAGGGACTAATTATAGCTACTGAAGGAGGCTGCAGAGGTGCCTTGTCACTCACTAACAAACAGGGACTAATTATAGCTACTGAAGGAGGCTGCAGAGGAGCCTTGTCACTCACTAACAAACAGGGACTAATTATATCTACTGAAGGAGGCTGCAGAGGTGCCTTGTCACTCACTAACAACAGGACTAATTATAGCTACTGAAGGAGGCTGCAGAGGTGCCTTGTCACTCACTAACAAACAGGGACTAATTATAGCTACTGAAGGAGGCTGCAGAGGTGCCTTGTCACTCACTAACAAACAGGGACTAATTATAGCTACTGAAGGAGGCTGCAGAGGTGCCTTGTCACTCACTAACAAACAGGGACTAATTATAGCTACTGAAGGAGGCTGCAGAGGTGCCTTGTCACTCACTAACAAACAGGGACTAATTATAGCTACTGAAGGAGGCTGCAGAGGAGCCTTGTCACTCACTAACAAATGCTTTCAATAAAACACTTGAAATGGGAAATCTCCATAAAATCTAGAAAAAGGCAAACATAACCCTAACAGTCAAGAAATGAGTCAGACTGGCGGTCCTAAGTTATAGACCAGTGTCGATAACATTCTGTGTACCGTGGTGGAGAGAGTAATAAGGGTGAGAACAGTGGAAGACCTGGAGAAGATAAACTTCAGATGAAGGGGGGAGGGAACTTCAGATACGGAGAGCGAACTTCAGATGGGGGAGGGGGGGGAAGTGAACTTCAGATGGGAGGGGAGAGCGAACTTCAGAAGGGGAGAGCGAACTTCAGAAGGGGAGAGCGAACTTCAGAAGGAAGGGGAGAGCGAACTTCAGAAGGAAGGGGAGAGCGAACTTCAGAAGGAAGGGGAGAGCGAACTTCAGAAGGAAGGGGAGAGCGAACTTCAGAAGGAAGGGGAGAGCGAACTTCAGAAGAAAGGGGAGAGCGAACTTCAGAAGAAAGGGGAGAGCGAACTTCAGAAGAAAGGGAGAGCGAACTTCAGAAGGAAGGGGAGAGCGAACTTCAGAAGGAAGGGGAGAGCGAACTTCAGAAGGAAGGGAGAGCGAACTTCAGAAGGGGAGAGCGAACTTCAGAAGGAAGGGGAGAGCGAACTTCAGAAGGAAGGGGAGAGCAAACTTCAGAAGGAAGGGAGAGCGAACTTCAGAAGGAAAGGGAGAGCGAACTTCAGAAGGAAAGGGAGAGCGAACTTCAGAAGGAAGGGGAGAGCGAACTTCAGAAGGAAGGGGAGAGCGAACTTCAGAAGGGGAGAGCAAACTTCAGAAGGAAGGGGAGAGCGAACTTCAGAAGGGGAGAGCGAACTTCAGAAGGAAGGGGAGAGCGAACTTCAGAAGGAAGGGGAGAGCGAACTTCAGAAGGAAGGGGAGAGCGAACTTCAGAAGGAAGGGGAGAGAAAACTTCAGAAGGAAGGGAGAGAGAACTTCAGAAGGAAGGGGAGAGAAACTTCAGAAGGAAGGGGAGAGAAAACTTCAGAAGGAAGGGGAGAGAAAACTTCAGAAGGAAGGGGAGAGAAAACTTCAGAAGGAAGGGAGAGAGAACTTCAGAAGGGAGAGAAAACTTCAGAAGGAAGGGGAGAAAACTTCAGAAGGAGGGGAGAGAAAACTTCAGAAGGAAGGGGAGAGAAAACTTCAGAAGGAAGGGGAGAGAAAACTTCAGAAGGAAGGGGAGAGAAAACTTCAGAAGGAAGGGGAGAGAAAACTTCAGAAGGAAGGGGAGAGAAAACTTCAGAAGGAAGGGAGAGAAAACTTCAGAAGGAAGGGAGAGAAAACTTCAGAAGGAAGGGGAGAGAAAACTTCAGAAGGAAGGGGAGAGAAAACTTCAGAAGGAAGGGGAGAGAAAACTTCAGAAGAAGGGAGAGAAAACTTCAGAAGGAAGGGGAGAGAAAACTTCAGAAGGAAGGGGAGAGAAAACTTCAGAAGGAAGGGGAGAGAAAACTTCAGAAGGAAGGGGAGAGAAAACTTCAGAAGGAAGGGGAGAGAAAACTTCAGAAGGAAGGGGAGAGAAAACTTCAGAAGGAAGGGGAGAGAAAACTTCAGAAGGAAGGGGAGAGAAAACTTCAGAAGGAAGGGAGAGAAAACTTCAGAAGGAAGGGGAGAGAAACTTCAGAAGGAAGGGGAGAGAAAACTTCAGAAGGAAGGGGAGAGAAAACTTCAGAAGGAAGGGGAGAGAAAACTTCAGAAGGAAGGGGAGAGAAAACTTCAGAAGGAAGGGGAGAGAAAACTTCAGAAGGAAGGGAGAGAAAACTTCAGAAGGAAGGGAGAGAAAACTTCAGAAGGAAGGGGAGAGAAAACTTCAGAAGGAAGGGGAGAGAAAACTTCAGAAGGAAGGGGAGAGAAAACTTCAGAAGGAAGGGGAGAGAAAACTTCAGAAGGAAGGGGAGAGAAAACTTCAGAAGGAAGGGGAGAGAAAACTTCAGAAGGAAGGGGAGAGAAAACTTCAGAAGGAAGGGGAGAGAAAACTTCAGAAGGAAGGGGAGAGAAAACTTCAGAAGGAAGGGGAGAGAAAACTTCAGAAGGAAGGGGAGAGAAAACTTCAGAAGGAAGGGGAGAGAAAACTTCAGAAGGAAGGGGAGAGAAAACTTCAGAAGGAAGGGGAGAGAAAACTTCGGAAGGAAGGGGAGAGAAAACAGGTGAAGGCATATTGTTAAGTTCCTCTTTAGTAAATACAGATACAAAATATTTATTAAAAATACTACTCATCTCTTCATCACTATCTGTTATTTGACCTGTCTCAGTTTTTAATGGACCTATCCTTTCCCTAGTCTTAGTACGATATAACTGAAAAAACCCTTTAGGATTTGTCTTTGCTTGCCCTGCTATGCGAACTTCATAGTTTCTTTTTGCTTTCCTTATCTCTTTTTTAACATTTCTAACCAGTTGTACGAATTCCTGTTCTAAAGTGACCTCCCCATTTTTAATCCTTTTGTACCAAGCTCTCTTTTTAACTATAAGGTTCTTCAAATTCTTTGTTATCCACTTTGGGTCATTAGTATACGATCTATTCAATTTGTATGGTATACTACGTTCCTGTGCTTTGTTTAGAATATTCTTAAATAAGTTATATATTGAATCCACATCGAAATCCCCATTTAAGTCACCTATCGCTGGGTTCATGTCTCGCTCCAAGACCGGCCCACACCCCATACCCAAGCCTTTCCAATCAATTTGACCCAAAAAATTTCTTAGGCTATTAAAATCAGCTTTTCGAAAATCTGGCACTTTAACAGAATTTTCTCCTACTGGTCTATTCCATTCTATGCTAAATCTGATTTCTTTGTGATCACTGCTCCCTAGCTCACTCCCTATTTCGATGTCATTAATTTGCGTTTCCCTGTTAGTTAACACTAAATCTAAAATATTATTTTCCCGTGTTGGTTCCTTAATGTGTTGCGTAAGAAAGCAATCGTCAATTAATTCTAGAAAATCTTCTGCTTCACTATTCCCTGTTTTGTTCAACCAGTTTATTTCCGCTAAAATTAAAGTCACCCATGACATAAATACTGTTAGATCTAGATGCTCTAGATATTTCATCCCATAGATGCTTTGCTTCCATTCTGTCTAAATTTGGTGGCCTATATATTACTCCTATTATAATATTATTAGCTTTTTCGTTTAATTCAATCCAATAGTTTCTGTGTGTGGCTCTGTTTTGATTCCCTCTTTGAGACTACATTTCAAATTGTCCCTAACATATATGGCTACTCCACCTCCTCGTCTAATATATCTATCTGTGTGAAATAGTTTAAATCCATATATTTGATATTCAGCTAATAGTTCTCTATTTTCTACATTCATCCACGTTTCGGTAAGTGCAATAATATCTATTTTTTCTGTGCAGACAAGAGCATTTAATTCGTTAATTTTATTTCTTAGACTTCTACTGTTAGTGTAATGTGGGTGGGGACGAGGACAGGTTGACGAGTTTAGCAGTTACCAGGGAGGATGTTCTTAAACAAATAGTAAAACTCAAACCAAACAAATCCCCAGGGCCGGATGAAGTGTTTGCTAGGAGTCAGGCAGAGTGCCAGAGTTTTGGAAAGTTGCTAATGTGATACCAGTTTTTAAGAAAGGAGATAGATCACTTGCGTCTAACTATCGACCAATTAGCCTAACGTCTATTGTGGGAAAGTTACTCGAATCTATAATAGCAAATAAATTCGTCTTCATCTTGAAAAACATAAATTAATAATTGAGTCGCAACATGGTTTTATAAATGGCCGTTCATGTTTAACAAATTTGTTATCTTTTTATTCTAGCATTGTTGAGGCAGTTGATAGTGGTAAGGATTGCGATGTTGTATACCTTGACTTTAGCAAAGCTTTTGATACAGTGCCACATGAAAGACTGATTAAAAAAATAGAGTCTCATGGTATTGGGGGTGCTATATTAAGCTGGATTAGGGCATGGCTATACCAAAGGAAACAGAGAGTTAGTATAAATGGAATCAAGTCAGAGTGGGAAAATGTTGTAAGTGGAGTGCCTCAAGGCTCTGTCCTGGGACCTCTGTTGTTTATAATATATATAAATGATTTAGATTCAGGTTTGAGTAGCAACATTTGCAAATTTGCCGATGATACGAAAATCGGTAGGGAATTAATTCGGAGGAGGACTCACTATCACTTCAAGTTGATCTAGATAGGGTTTTGAAATGGTCAAAGGATTGGCAGATGCAGTTTAATGCTGATAAATGTAAAGTTCTGAGGTTAGGTAATGATGATAGAGTTACAAGATACGAGCTAGATGGTGTTGTGATTGCGAAGTCGGATTGCGAAAGGGATCTGGGAGTTATGATTAGTAAGAATTTAAAACAAAAGGATCAATGCATAAATGTTCGTAATAAGGCAAATCGGACACTTGGATTTATTAATCGCAGCGTTAGTAACAAGACACCTGGTGTGGTTCTCAAGCTATATCTTGCTCTAGTTAGGCCCCATTTAGATTATGCAGTTCAGTTTTGGTCGCCATATTATAGAATGGATATAAATTCACTTGAACGTGTCCAGCGTAGGATGACTAAGTTAATTCCCCAAATTAGAAATCTTTCATATGAAGAAAGATTAACAAAGCTTAAGTTGCATTCACTGGAAAGGCGAAGAGTTAGGGGTGACATGATAGAGGTTTACAAGTGGATGAATGGACATAACCGGGGGGATATTAATAGGGTATTAAAAGTATCAACACAGGACAGAACACGAAACAATGGATATAAATTGGATAAGTTTAGATTTAGGAAAGACTTGGGTAAATACTGGTTCAGTAACAGGGTTGTTGATTTGTGGAACCAATTGCCGCGTAACATTGTGGAGGTGGGGTCCCTCGATTGTTTCAAGCACGGGTTGGACAAGTATATGAGTGGGATTGGGTGGTTATAGAATAGGAGCTGCCTCGTATGGGCCAATAGGCCTTCTGCAGTTACCTTTGTTCTTATGTTCTTATGTTCTTAAAGGAAGGGAGAGAAAACTTCGGAAGGAAGGGAGAGAAAACTTCGGAAGGAAGGGAGAGAAAACTTCGGAAGGAAGGGGAGAGAAAACTTCGGAAGGAAGGGAGAGAAAACTTCGGAAGGAAGGGGAGAGAAAACTTCGGAAGGAAGGGGAGAGAAAACTTCGGAAGGAAGGGAGAGAAAACTTCGGAAGAAGGGGAGAGAAAACTTCGGAAGGAAGGGGAGAGAAAACTTCGGAAGGAAGGGGAGAGAAAACTTCGGAGGAAGGGGAGGAGAAACTTCGGAAGGAAGGGGAGAGAAAACTTCAGAAGGAAGGGGAGAGAAAACTTCAGAAGGAAGGGGAGAGAAAACTTCAGAAGTAAGGGGGAGAGAAAACTTCAGAAGGAAGGGAGAGAAAACTTCAGAAGGAAGGGGAGAGAAACTTGAGAAGGAAGGGGAGAGAAAACTTCAGAAGGAAGGGAGAGAAAACTTCAGAAGGAAGGGGAGAGAAACTTCAGAAGGAAGGGAGAGAGAACTTCAGAAGAATGGGAGAGAAAACTTCAGAAGGAAGGGGAGAGGGAACTTCAGAAGGAAGGGGAGAGGAACTTCAGAAGGAAGGGGAGAGGGAACTTCAGAAGGAAGGGGAGAGGGAACTTCAGAAGGAAGGGAGAGGGAACTTCAGAAGGAAGGGGAGAGGGAACTTCAGAAGGAAGGGGAGAGGGAACTTCAGAAGGAAGGGAGAGGGAACTTCAGAAGGAAGGGCAGAGGGAACTTCAGAAGGAAGGGCAGAGGGAACTTCAGAAGGAAGGGCAGAGGGAACTTCAGAAGGAAGGGCAGAGGGAACTTCAGAAGGAAGGGCAGAGGGAACTTCAGAAGGAAGGGCAGAGGGAACTTCAGAAGGAAGGGGAGAGGGAACTTCAGAAGGAAGGGGAGAGGGAACTTCAGAAGGAAGGGGAGAGGGAACTTCAGAAGGAAGGGGAGAGGGAACTTCAGAAGGAAGGGGAGAGGGAACTTCAGAAGGAAGGGGAGAGGAACTTCAGAAGGAAGGGAGAGGGAACTTCAGAAGGAAGGGAGAGTGGAACTTCAGAGGAAGGGAGAGGGAACTTCAGAAGGAAGGGGAGAGGGAACTTCAGAAGGAAGGGGAGAGGGAACTTCAGAAGGAAGGGGAGAGGGAACTTCAGAAGGAAGGGAGAGGGAACTTCAGAAGGAAGGGGAGAGGGAACTTCAGAAGGAAGGGAGAGGGAACTTCAGAAGGAAGGGGAGAGGGAACTTCAGAAGGAAGGGGAGAGGGAACTTCAGAAGGAAGGGAGAGGGAACTTCAGAAGGAAGGGAGAGGGAACTTCAGAAGGAAGGGGAGAGGAACTTCAGAAGGAGGGGAGAGGGAACTTCAGAAGGAAGGGGAGAGGGAACTTCAGAAGGAAGGGAGAGGGAACTTCAGAAGGAAGGGAGAGGGAACTTCAGAAGGAAGGGGAGAGGGAACTTCAGAAGGAAGGGGAGAGGGAACTTCAGAAGGAAGGGAGAGGGAACTTCAGAAGGAAGGGGAGAGGGAACTTCAGAAGGAAGGGGAGAGGAAACTTCAGAAGGAAGGGGAGAGCGAACTTCAGAAGGAAGGGGAGAGGGAACTTCAGAAGGAAGGGGAGAGGGAACTTCAGAAGGAAGGGGAGAGGGAACTTCAGAAGGAAGGGGAGAGGGAACTTCAGATGGAGAGAGCGAACTTCAGATGGAGAGAGGGAACTTCAGATGGAGAGAGGGAACTTCAGATGGAGAGAGGGAACTTCAGATGGAGAGAGGGAACTTCAGATGGAGAGAGTGAACTTCAGATGGAGAGAGGGAACTTCAGATGGAGAGAGTGAACTTCAGATGGAGAGAGGGAACTTCAGATGGAGAGAGGGAACTTCAGATGGAGAGAGGGAACTTCAGATGGAGAGAGGGAACTTCAGATGGAGAGAGGGAACTTCAGATGGAGAGAGGGAACTTCAGATGGAGAGAGGGAACTTCAGATGGAGAGGGAACTTCAGATGGAGAGAGGGAACTTCAGATGGAGAGAGGGAACTTCAGATGGAGAGAGGGAACTTCAGATGGAGAGAGGGAACTTCAGATGGAGAGAGGGAACTTCAGATGGAGAGAGGGAACTTCAGATGGAGAGAGGGAACTTCAGATGGAGAGAGGGAACTTCAGATGGAGAGAGGGAACTTCAGTTGGGTTAACTCATTGTTAACCCATTGGGTTAACCCATTGTTAACCTTCAATGGGTTTTAAGACAAGATTAATAGAGTGCGATAGGAAAAAATGACAGGATAGATTATATATGTTTTTGGCTCAAGAACACTTGATACCAGGTCCCAGCAGAGACTGGTGTACAAGATGGACATGCAACTGGTGTAAGTGGCAGGATGCTAAACTGTGAAAGGAAGTCTCTTAAGGAGAGGAAGATCGTCACATTCAGAGGGCGAAGTCTCCAGCTGGAGGAATGTTACAAGTGGGTCCCTCAAGGCTCGGTCCTGGAGCACTAATGTTGCTAATATTAAGGATCAAACATGCGCGAACTCTCTCTTTCGGATAATGTTTCTATGTGATGCAAAACTAATTAAAAATGTAAAAACAGAGGAGTATTGCAGAATGTTAAAATACGACCTTGACAAATTCCAGGAGTTGACAAGTGCTGGAGGTCACCTACAAAAAGTGTACGGTAGTGAGGATGGGGAAAGGAAGAGAGTCGACCAGAAGGTTAATATACCACAACTAGAAAGTAACCACGAATCAGAGAAGGGAGATTTGGAAGTGGATGTAACCTCAACACCAACACCGGAGGCTCACACAGGCAGGGTGACATCAGGAGAATACGGGACGCTGGTGAACATTAGAACATCATTTAAAACCCGAAATCATGACTATTTCAACGCAATATGCACAGCTTTTGTTAAACCAGTACTGGAATCTGCAAGACCTGCTTGGAATCCATATCTTGTGCAAAATAATACGAAAATTTCAATAGTGCAGAGATTCCTTACCATATAAGATCCAAAGCTAAAAATGTTAAGCTATGATAACAGGCGGAAGGAACTAGACCACACAAGCCTGGAAGGCAGAAGAAACAGGTAAGTATGATAGCAACATAAAATAGAGGGGAAGGGAACTAGGTCAGCCTCATTAAATTGAGAGAAAATAAAACAACACAAGTGGAAGTTAGAAACACAAGCGAGTCGAAGAGTGTAAGGTCATATACTTGTACCTTGTACAGGTGGTCAGCAAGTGGAACGTGCTGAGAGAAGCTGTGCTCTCTCAGCTTGAGAGAAGCTCCACTATCCACAGCTTCTTGGACCGATTCAACAAAGAATTTGAACGTCAGAATTGTTAAGCTATAGCGCAACAGCTACAAAATGAAGATAGTAGACAGGACATAGAGAGATATATCCTACTTCCCTGTTTTAAATGATATTAAGCATTACCACAGCCATCCACACCACCACCACAGCCATCCACACCACTACTACAGCCATCCACACCACCACCACAGCCATCCACACCACCACCACAGCCATCCACACCACCACTACAGCCATCCACACCACCACCACAGCCATCCACACCACCACCACAGCCATCCACACCACTACTACAGCCATCCACACCACCACCACAGCCATCCACACCACCACCACAGCCATCCACACCACCACCACACCCATCCACACCACCACCACACCCATCCACACCACCACCACAGCCATCCACACCACCACCACAGCCATCCACACCACCACCACAGCCATCCACACCACCACCACAGCCATCCACACCACCACCACAGCCATCCACACCACCACTACACCCATCCACACCACCACCACAGCCATCCACACCACCACCACAGCCATCCACACCACCACTACACCCATCCACACCACCACTACACCCATCCACACCACCACCACAGCCATCCACACCACCACCACTACACCCATCCACACCACCACCACAGCCATCCACACCACCACAGCCATCCACACCACCACCACAGCCATCCACACCACCACTACACCCATCCACACCACCACCACAGCCATCCACTCTAGAACAGCAAATGATCCGAGGGAATGTAAGGCAATACTCATACCCTGTATGGGAGGTCAACACGTGGAATGCACTGAAAGAAGAAATTGTAGAAGCCACCTCAATCCATAACTTTAAGGTCAGATTCACCAAAGAATTTGGACGACAAAACAGTTCAAATTCAGACAAACTTGAAATGCAAACAGGTAACACAAGGCTAGTAGACGGGGGCATTAACACCTAGAGCTCATTTTCCCGTAGACACTGTTAGACAAGTACTATTAGGTAAGTACCACCATCATCATCCCACCACCATCACCACCACCACCATTAACCACCACCATAGCCACCCCACCCCCACCACCACCATCCCACAACCACATTATTTGCCCAATCAGTTAAAACAGATTTCATAGCTTTCATCACAATCCATTTTCAGTTAAACGTTTCTTCAGTTTGTCGAGCCAGCGGCCCGACCTCTCAGTCCCCCATTGACTACGGGACTGAGAGGTTGGTCCCTCTTGGTGGTCGTACTTGGACCACCACGACAACGGTGGTGGACTTGCTTGGACCACCACTACAACGGTGGTGGTCGTACTTGGACCACCACGACAACGGTGGTGGTCTTGCTTGGACCACCACTACAAACACGACTACTACCACCACCTGCATA